CTTTTGTACTATCTTTGCAAAAATATATGTAGGTTTACCTGATACATTTCTAAAATATTTTTTATTGATTTCAGAGAGAAAGGGAGAGGGAGAGATAGAAACATCAACGATAAGAGAGAATCATTGATGGGCTGCCTCCTGAATGCCCCTCACTAGGGATTGAGCCAGCAACCCGGGTATGTGCCCTTGACTGAAATCGAACCCAGGACCCTTCAGTCCACAGGCCCCTTCAGTCCACAGGCTGATGCTCTATCCACTGAGCCAAACCAGCTCAATAAAACTTTAAATAACTGATAGGCTCAGTTGGAATTCTTTAGTTAATTGTGTTTCCCGACCTTTTAAAATTTTTTATTTGATTTTAGAGAGAAAGGGAGAGGGAGAGCAAGAGACAGAAACATGGATGTGAAAGAGAATCATCAATTGGTTGCCTCCCGTATACACTCTGACTGGGGATCGAACCTACAAACTTGGTTTGTGCTCTGACCAGAAATCAAACCAGCAACCTTTTGGTGCATAGGATGACGCTCAACCAACTGAGCCACACCGGCCAGGCCCAATCTTTTTCTCCTTAAATATTTTTTCAACAAAAGCATTCAGAAGCCCTCCTTCCTTAGAAAGTACAGTGTTGGTTTTATCTTACAGTTGGGCTCGAGGATCATTTTTCTGAACAGCACCTCCTACTGTGGACAACAGGTCCACTAGTTAAGAAGCCCCGGCAGAGCACCTACTGTGGGTAGGACACAAGGCCAGGCGTTTCCAGGGAATACAGCAGACCCACCCCTGCTGTCAACATGCTCAGCATGGATGGGAAGACACAGATAGTTTGCTGGCTGAGGTCATTTGGACACACCCTGTTTCTTTTTGCCAAAATAGCTTCCCCCTAGGCCAGACTAATGGGTTTTTGGGTCGTTATTTAATCTTAGAGGATTAATAGCCTCATGAGAACCACAAAGAGCAGAGTTGGAGAAGCTAGGGAAGGCTTCCTGGACAAGATGAGGCCTTAGCTGAGTGGATTTAGTAGAGCTGGAATGGCCCAAGAGGAAGAGAGAAGGTGGGTGGTGCAATAGCTCACAGAAGAATAGACGTGTGTGTGTGTGTGTGTGTGTGTGTGTGTGTGTGTGTGTGTGTGTTTTGAGAGGGTCATCAGAAGATTGGCCCGGCCTGGGTACCTGGCATACAATAGGCATTCAATAAATACGTATTGAATGATGGATGAAGGATGTAGAAGATGTAGATTGCCTACATTTGAACTGATACTAAGAATTAGCTGTGGCCGAAACCGGTTTGGCTCAGTGGATAGAGCGTCGGCCTGCGGACTAAAAGGTCCCAGGTTCGATTCCGGTTAAGGGCATGTACCTGGGTTGCGGGCACATCCCCAGTGGGAGATGTGCAGGAGGCAGCTGGTCGATGTTTCTCTCTCATCGATGTTTCTAACTGTCTATCCCTCTCCCTTCCTCTCTGTAAAAAATCAATAAAATATATTTTTTTAAAAAAAGAATTAGCTGTGGAATTGTTTTTAAAATTATTTTTTTCTCTCCTATAAGGCAAGTGCAAAACAAAAATGGCTAAATAGACAAGCAAAAAAACACAACAACAAAAATCTCTGTGAGTAAGTGGCCAAGGGAAACTTTACTACATGACTGAGGAAGGGACTTAATTGGAATCACTTTTTAGTGACCTGGAGCCCACCCCGCCCCCAACAGAGCAGTGTGTCCGGAGGCATGCCCACCTGCTGTCTGGGGGGAGGGATCCTGTTGGGCCAAGCCAAGAGCTTCTTGAGTTCAGCCTCCTGGCCTGTACTCCTGGAGGGACTTTGCTCCCTGTCCGGGCCATTCTGTGTTTTGTCTTTCTCGTCCACCTCCAGGTTCCTTCTCCTGAAGAACTGCTGCTGCCGGGCTCTCTGGAGCTGCTCTGTGTGCTGGGTCCTCAGCGCCTTCCCCGCCTGGCGGCAAGTGGTCATGTTGGGGCGGCAGCGGCGGCTTTCACGGGTCTCCTGCCGGCGCTCATACTTGGCCTCGTAGCTCTCGGCCCACCGGGCCAAGCCAGCGGGAGGCCTGGGGTCTGGGCTGATCATGAGGACTCCTGAGCACCTGTTGTGCTTGGCTTCCAGTTCCTGGAATAGCTGTCGGGATCTGCCAAATGCCAAGAGGGAGGAGAAGGGGAGGGGTCAGGAGATGGGCAGAAAAATGATTACCTCCCTGGACAAGGGGGCGGAAATAGCATATACATGTGGGTTGAAAACAGAGGAGGTGATGATGTCAAACCTAGAGTCAGGACTCTCAGGGTCCAGTCTCTATGCTAACTTCTGCTTTTCTCCGGCCTCTGTCTCCCCCTCTGCAAAGTGGAAAGTCTGGCTGCCACTTCTTCATTCACCAAACATCTCACTCTGCCTCTAAGTCGGGGGACCATGAGAAGTCATTGATAAAAATCATCATGATTTTGTCACCTTTTGGATGGCAGGGATGTGTCCACTCTTTGGGGTCTCCTAGGGAACCAGTTGAATGGCTCCCTGTCCCAAATCTGAAGGACAAGCAAGCATCTTTACTGCTCTCTTGGCCCAGGTTGTTACTAGAGTAGGCGAGTGACTCTACTCAAGGCCTGGAGGGACACCCAGACCCCTCCAAGGTGTGGCCAGTCCTGAGACCAGCACCCGCTGATTTCTTCTTAGCCCTTAGCCACCAGCTGTGAGCTTGGTCCTGGGCACAGTCCAGAATGGAAACCCCACCCTAATTCCTCTAATCATGGTCCATTGACACCCGACTCCCAGCCCAGACCTGGGCTCTGACTCTCAGGTGCAGATCAACTCAGATCAGTATTGGCCAAGCACCTGCCACAGGCCCAGTGCTGGCGAAACCCATATCAGAACTTCCAGCTCAATAATTCTTGGCATTGAGAGTTTCATTTTTCTGGAATCACCTCCCTGTCAGAACTAAGTATGGTGTCAAGTCTGCTTTTCTTACCCCAGACACAGGCTGTGCCATCAAAACCAGCAATCAGCCCGGCCCGTGTGGCACAACGGTTGAGCATTGACCTGTGAACCAGGAGGTTATTGTTCAATTCCTGGTCAGGGCACATGCCCGGATTGTGGGTTCGGTCCCCAGTAGGGGGTGTGCAGGAGGTAGCCAATCAATGATTCTCTCATCATTGATGTTTCTATCTCCCTCTCCCTCTCCCTTCCTCTCTGAAATCAATAAAAAATATATTTAAAAAACCCAGCAAACACATGGAGTTTGTCTCCTTAAGGTCATTACAAACAAAAATGAAACAAAATCAAACAAACCAAAACAGTAGCCCGAAGTCCCCAGGCTTTTCTGTAGAGGCCACACTTTGTCACCCCTTTACGTTGTGGCCTTACCTGCTGCTCAGATAACCCCCAATCTTTCTTCCTTCTCTGTGTTCCCCTCACCCTCTCCTACACGCACGGACCTTCTGCAAATGTGTTTCTTTACCTAGAACCCTCTGCCAACCTGGCTGAGTTGGGGCGGGACCTGGCTCAGCTGGATCCTGAGCGCTGGAAATTCTGTGCCCTTCCTCCCCTGATCACAGGAGTGACTGCAGAGAAAAGAGGAGCCCCCCTTACAGCTGCCGCTTCTCTTCTGGGTCCCCCAACCTGCCTACCCACCACCCTGGGAGCCTTAG